AGTGGAGAATCTCTCAGAAACAGCATCAGTGGCACCATAGCCAACATTTGGTAGTACTGCACAAAAGGAGACATGGTAGAGGCAAGAGGTAGTGTCAAAACATGATGCTTCCAGTTCAGAATGCACTCAGCCAACCATTGGGAAAATGCAGACAACCAGTGTGAGCAGAGTTGTGTCTAATGATGCACCTGAACTCAAGGAAATGCAGTTGTCAACATGTGCAGGGATGGGGAAAAAAGTTAAAAAAATGCACAGTACATAGATGTGTTTGGCTGGAGTAACACTCAAAAATGTACCTCTTCCAACTTAATAACAAATTCAACTTAAGAACAAACCTACAGAACCAATCTTGTTCATAACTTGGGGCTTCCTGTACTGGATAAAATTTTAATTGCAAAGCTGTATCAACATTGCCTATTAGATCAAATTTCTTTGTAAAGTTGTGAAAATTGGATATAGGAGAGTTCAGTCAATATTATGGGCTGCCAAAAAGACACATAAATGGGTCCTTAAGCAGATCAAGCCTGATGTCTACTTAATGATTAAACTGAGACATATTGGGCATATAATGAGGAAACATGACTCGTGAGAAAAGACTGTAATGTTTGGTAGAGTAGAAATAGTTGGAAAAGAAGAAGGCTGCATTATAAGGTAGATAGGCTCAAGCAAGGAAACCATGGCCCTGAATTTAAAAGACCTAAATCAGGGCTGCCGATAACAGAGTAACTTACAGGTCTCTTATTCAAATGGTCACCCTAATTCAAAGTTAGAATGACAGCAGTTAACAATAGTAATGCTCCTTTTGTGGAGTAAAGTTTCAGATTTTCCAGGTGATTATATGTCCTTTTTTAAGTGATGATCTGCTGGCTGTGTTAGTAACATTGTATGTCCTTATTCATTTTGGAAGTGCGGATAACATGAAGACAGGATGAAAATGCTTTCTATTGTATTTTGAAGGGTTGTTCTTGTCATGTTCTATAACAGTGGTTCTCAACCTGGGGTCCTCAGATGTTTTTGACCTACAACTCCCAGAAATCCCAGCCAGTTTACCAGCTGTTAAGATTTCTGGGTGTTGAAGGCCAAAAACATTTGGGGACCCCAGGTTGAGAACCACTGTTCTAGAAGCATTCTCTCCTGACGCTTCTAAAACATGGCCATACCGCCCAAAAAACCTACAACAACCCAGTGATTCCAACCATGAAAGCCTTTGACAATACGTTCTTGTCAGTTTTACCAATTACGTTCAGACTTGCAAAACTTTATAGTAGCATGTGTAACTAATTTCTTCAATTAATTGTCTTGTAAAACAAGCTGCTTCTCTCAGAGAACATCATGTTCTACTGTAGTTCATAGTTCTTAAAGCACATATGTAAGTTATTTGAAACAGTTTCAAAAATTGCCTTGTTCTTCAACAAGAAAATAATTGGGTCCAGTGCAGAGGCTGGCAAATAGAACATAGACAGGGAGTGAATTCCAATTCTACTCTGAGATCCTTTCAACACCTTTGAAAGTACATTTAGGTCTGTTTTGAAATTCTTCCGCTTTTTCAGTATGCATTTTTCAATTACAGTATGATGGAAACCTATTGCATGATCTTGGGCAGGTCACATTATTTTAGCCTTAGAACAGATCTTGCCAAGAAAACACCATGACAGGTTTGCCTTAGGGTTGACATAAGTCAAAATGTCATGAAGGCTAATAGCCATGACAACAAAGTATTCCAAAATGAGAAATAGGTGATGAACAACAAGTTGGCTTGGTTGCCAGTGAGATCAAAATAATGTTTAACCCTTAAATAGTAAAAAACAGAAAAATCAGGAAAACTCCATAGTGGGCCATTAGGCACTCAGGACACCTTCCAAATGTGCAAAGCTTCCCACAGCAAGATTTAAGGCAACGGGGATGAAAGAGACAGTGGTGCTGGAAAGTTTTCAAAACTTTGTCACTCCACACTTGAAAACAGTGATGACATAGAATAATTTGTATTTTTACAGAGAGGGATGGCCAGAGGGAGTTTATCTTAGGGCTTCCATTTTTGGTATAAGGAGTACTTCCCCCTAAATGTTAGTGTAGAACTATATGGTTAAAGTTATAGTGAAAGGCTAATCGAAACCACTGTTCCCACCACCCTTTCCATTATTTGACAATACTCTTAATGTTCATTGGGGGGGGGGGCATTTCAAGACAAAGATTCAGACCCTGTTAATATGGATTAAGGACAGTTTAGACCCTAACTCACAAATTATGGTTAGAATGTTTAACCTGTCTCTGCTTGTTTTGTTAGCCTCTAGAAGAGGGTTGGCCTGTTTGATAATTAAACTGCTTTAACAGCTTATCAGCTGTTAATCTACTAAGATTTTCTTAAAGGTTCTGTCCCCTCCCCCTTTGAGGTTCATTTGTGAGTTGGATTTATATTGTTTTGGATTTTTATTGCCTTTCATTATTGTGTCTAAAATGTTCAGTAGTAATTGGAATAGGCTTCCACATGTAGGCAGTATCTGTTCACTGAGAAGGCAATTCAAGACCCAGAGATATTACATAGTTTATTAATTTTGAGTAACACACAGCTGTCATGCAACTTCTTTAAAAAAATAGTCTAGGAATTGAGAATGTACTGGAGTGTACTTTGTGGAGCTGCATATGGTGGTCAGAGAGCCTTTATGGCTAACATATATTTACTTGAAATACAAAGACAGTTCATAAATTAAAATAGCTTTGTCTGCACAAGTAAAAAAGCTTGACAATCAACGCTTGTCATATAATTCTTCCTCAAAATCACAGATAGGGAAAGTAGAGTCCATGAATGGCATGTCTTCCAGGCAGCTTTTGGGGACCTCAACCTACAAAACAAGATTTTGAAAAATTGTTTATCTTGTCATTCTCACCTTCTACAGGGCATTGGGCACCTAGTAGTGAGCATATTACACCTATACTAAAGTAACTCCACTGGTTGCCAATTAGTTTCTGGTTTTGACCTTTAAAGCCCTACATGGTTTGGGTCCAGGTTACCTACAGTATTGTCTTCTATATAATCTGCCCTGCACACTTAGGTCCTTTGGGGGGCATCTACTCCAATCTGCAGAACCTGACTGCCAAGCCAGAGAACCTTTTCATCAATTGACTATGGCATGACCTACCAGAAGAGATTAGTCAGCTAGTCAGGTAAAGGTAAAGGTTTTCCCCTGAGATTAAGTCCAGTCATTTCCGACTCTAGGGTTAGTGCTCATCTTCATTTTTAAGCCGAAGAGCTGACGTTGTCCGTAGACACCTCCGAGGTCATGTGGCCAGCATGACTGCATGGAGTGCTGTTACCTTCCCACCTATTGATCTACTCACATTTGCTTGTTTTCGAACTGCTAAGTTGGCAGAAGCTGGGGCTAACAGCAAGAGCTCACTCTGCTCCCTGAATTCAAACCTGTGACTTTTTGGTCAATAATTTTGGCAGCTCAGTGGTTAAACCCACTGCACCACCGGGGACTCACCAGACACTAGATAAGCTGTTGTAATTTGAGACACAATTGAAGACCCACCTCTTTAAGTCGCGAATTTTTATCTGATTTTATCAGTAGATTTTAACTTATATTTTAACTCTGTGTAGGTTGTTGTATGTCTTATAATAGTGTTTTATCTCTTGTTTTAATGATGTTGTATCCCGCCTCGAGCCACAGGGAGAGGCGGGTAATAGTTTTTATCATTGTCATCACCATCATTATGGGACACATTTTTGCCATATTTTCAGGGGGGAGGGATGGGCATTTTTACTTAACCAAATGTAAAAAGAAAAAGAAATTTAAAAGAGACTGACAGTCCATGAGAGTTGTTGACACCTCCTGCACTTCATTTGGTTGCCTATTCCTCCTCTAAACAGCAAGTGTTTAGGCGCTAGTCTCTTATACAGAGCATAGCAGCTGAAATATTTAATTAACAAATTAACATACGTGGTATATATGGCTTAAGTCTGAGCTTGGACATTTTAATGCATTTTGCAGGTGTTTCTTTCTATGACACTACTGGAACATGGGCCAGTGAAATAGGGCTGAATGGCAAGGCTAACAGATCTAATGTGGCATTTATTGTTAATATATCAAGCTAAGAATGGTTTCAGGCTGATAGCAATATATACCGTATGTTGTCTGTCTCCAGTACATTAACTACATCTTTAATTTTGGATCTACCAAATTATTTTAAAGCTCTTTGTTTGCTTTACATTGTTCACATGGCTCAACTTTCACTGTTTATATACTGTATTTTATTTATATTTGTTTTCAAATCTTGTAAAAATAAAAATGACGTTAAGCACTTTTCTTTTAATAATATTCTCTGGGAACTAGATATTCTACATCCTCTCAAATTAAAGTATTTAGACTCTGCACCCATTCTCCTTCCATAAAGTAAGGCAGGTGGTGATCAGAGACACCTGACGTACTTTACATTTTTTGGATGCCTCATGTCATCCTATTACCATCTTTGAAAACCTTTCCTGTCTAGGGCTTTAAGTTTTTTATTGTCTTGTTCTGGAATTGTCAGTTGTTATGTGATTTGGGAGAATTTTTACTTTTATTTTATAACTTGTTTTGAGACACGCAGTTAACAGAAGTGAAAATTGATGTTTATGGAATGTTTCAAATTGCATTTTATGTGAGATTCTATCGTGTGTTCCCAGCTTAATTCTTTGTGATATTGTGTTATATTCAGTCTATTTAAAGATGTTCACTGTATGTGAGAGTCTATACTAGGACTCTTTTACTCCTGCTAGGAAATGTGTCTGAGATTGAAAGCTTACTTTTAATGTTGCCAAACCCATTTTTAATGGACGGCTTGACACATTTGTTTCAAGATTCCCCTGCTTTTGATATGGGAATCACATTCCATAGACTTAAAGTGGATTTCATAAAAGATAAACCTTAAAATTAAAATGCCTGCAGTTTTAGTTTGTATTCTCTGAGGTGTGACAGTATCAAACCATTTAACAAGTATTGTATTGTATTGTATTTTTACAGGCCGTTTGTATGCCATGCAGACAGGTATGAAGATTGATAGTAAAAATCCAGAATGCCGCAAATTTTTATGCAAACTCATGGATCAACTTGAGGCTGTAAGTCTATCTGCTGTGTTGATAATTGTTGGTATTTGGTTATAGAAACATAGAGAAAATTCCCTTATGTATGTTCTTGCATGAGCATGAATGTAATATTATTCCTGGTGCCATAGGCCTTCATTATATTTTACTCCAAGGCATTTATCTCTGCAGGACCCCTAGATTGGTTCACAGAGAAATTCGTAGTAAGGGAAACAAAGTTGAGGGAAAGGTTGAATGAAATATGTGACGGGGAAAGAAAGAGTACAATCTTAATTTAATGTCCAAGTTCATAGATATTACGGTATTTATTTATTTTATTTACTTCATTTGTATACCACCATTCTCAGCCCTAAGGCAACTCATAGCGGTTTACAACAAGCAAAAACAAGGCGAACAATCAAGGCAAAAATTCAATGCGGCATCAACAAGGTACTTAAAAACAGTTAACACAGAAACAAATTAAACAATCTAACAGTAATAAACATTCATTGGCGTCTCATAACTAGAATCATGATCCAAACTCGTCAGTCGTAGTTCCATTTCCTGAAATTCATTGCACTGCTTATTCAAACGCCTGTTCAAATAACCAGGTTTTCACTTTCCTCCGGAATACCATCAATGAGGGGGCCAATCTGATGTCCATGGGAAGGGCGTTCCACAGGGTAGGCAAATCATAGTTTATTTCACACACAACAACCTTTGTTTTTGTTTTGTTTTACATGAAATGTTTCTCTTTTGCTTCCCAGTTCAGTAGCCTTAGGTGATGTACAGGAGTTAAACATATTTAAAACATTGAATTCACAAATAAGATCATTTTAAAGGAGACAAAACATCTCAAATATCTGAGGAAGTAGACTTATACTACCAACTTCTTTTAGTTAATCTCTAAGCTTTTGCATACTTATGTTCCAGACTAAGATGACTATGTCATACAATTCCACAAACAATTAAAATAATTGTAGCTCCCCTACTTCCATCCCACCTCAGTTTTAAAAATCAAAGGCCATGCAGAATAATTACACTGGAAACCTGAAAAGGATGTAGCCAGTCTGACTTCCTTTGAGAGGGAGTTCTATAGTCTGTATCCTTCTACAGAAGAGCCATTTCATTTTTGCATAGATGTTAAATTTCAGGCAGGCATTTGTAGGTCAAAAACAGATTAATCTTAAATTGAGTGCAAGAGCAAATTGCAAGATAGTGCAGTTTGTGCAAGACCAAATGGTATATATGGCCTTTAAACTTTGAAAATATTGCATCTACAACATTTTATTTGTTGTTGTTCATTCGTTCAGTCGTCTCCGACTCTTCGTGACCTCATGGACCAGCCCACGCCAGAGCTCCCTGTCGGCCGTTACCACCCCCAGCTCCCTCAAGGTCAGTCCAGTCACTTCAAGGATGCCATCCATCCATCTTGCCCTTGGTCGGCCCCTCTTCCTTTTGCCTTCCACTTTCCCCAGCATAATTGTCTTCTCTAGGCTTTCCTGTCTCCTCATGATGTGGCCAAAGTACTTCAACTTTGTCTCTAGTATCTTTCCCTCCAGTGAGCAGTCGGGCTTTATTTCCTGGAGGATGGACTGGTTGGATCTTCTCGCAGTCCAAGGCACTCTCAGCACTTTCCTCCAACACCACAGCTCAAAAGCATCGATCTTCCTTCGCTCAGCCTTCCCTAAGGTCCAGCTCTCACATCCGTAGGTTACTACAGGGAATACCATGGCTTCGACTATTGGGATCTTTGTTGCCAGTTTGATGTCTCTACTCTTTACTATTTTATCGAGACTGGACATTGCTCTCCTCCCAA